TTGACTGAAAGCCGCCGTTTTTACACTACAGGATACAACACTAGACACTAGATACGCCCCCTCAGACCTCGCCAGAAGTGTCTGTCTGCACTGCGCTGTCAGCAGGCTGAGGGAATGAGAGTTTTTATGTCAGAATTTGTTTGATCATGGTGTGTTTTTGAGTCCGGTTACCCACATTCCATTGAGAGTTACCAGCACTTGGTGCGGCAGTAGAATTAGGGCTTCTATACTGCTTTTGATTACTATTTATGATTGTAAATATTCTATATGTATTTTTAAAGATGTTTTTGGACAAATGTGGAGGGTTTACGTTGTGGGCAAGCAACTTTACTAAAAGTCACTGTTTTTAAAGTTCATTGAGATATACAGACTCCAGAATAGTTTGGGCTCCCTGACATTATTAGTGGACAAAGACATTCATTCACTCTGTTCTCTCCTCTTTCACCCTGAAACTCTGATGTACAATGTTACAGTGAGTTCAGTGGCCATCTGAACAACTCTTTCGAGCTTACAAGACACTAAAAGGGATAAATGTCAACGCGACTGAAGCCTTCTATCCCTGTGGCGCTGCCTCAGTGTTCCTATGGCAAGCAACACTGTGATTATGACAGAGGTACACTTCAGGTTTTTTGAGAGTTTGCAAGGCCACATCTGAACACAGCTGCAAGATGGAAGTGGCTAAATGTAAGTCTATGCTCTCTGTCTCAGTATTCACATGCACTTCCAGCACTCAGAAGTGTAACCAGTATTGTAAACAGAATTTGACAGCAATACAGCGAGGTTCACCATCTGAATGTCAGCACGGCCTAGTCTTAGTCAATGCTTCTGCACAATTTTAAATGTTTAGTTTGTGATTGGTTTTTGATTGGATTTGAAGGTTCTGTGTTGTTTTTACCCATTTCAACATGAGCAGAGGGCTTGTGTTTTAACTTGTGGTAATGCTCTACATTATTAGGATCTCATGAAACCTGCCAAGAACATGTCCTGGTCTTATTTCGCCCTAAATCAGAATGAAAAAAATCCCTTTTTTCGTTTTTGTTTTGTATTGTTTTCTCTCTTTTTTTGTGTGTGTGTTCTTAAAATACAGTAAGTCACATACAGTATGCAATATGAAAAAAATGAGCATCATAAAATATTTGACCTTAATTTGCACTTATAAAATCATGCAATGTATAGGTTGTATTATTATAATAAAGTCAAAATGCTGTTCAAACATTAGAATCTAATCTGAATCACTTTTGAGAATAAAAACAAAAATACAATAAAAAGATAAGGAATGCTTAATTTTTGTGAAAAAACGAGGTCCAAACACAGGCTTCATTTTCTTTGTACTGTTTTTCTGTTTGGTTTTGGGCTGTAATCTTACCTGGACATGTTTCATGAATTTTTCCCATTGGTTTGAAACATCAGCTCCATGTTGAGGTGAGATGTGTGTTCTGAGTGTATGCTTATGAACGCATGATTTTTGGGGAATGTTTAGCCCACGAGTGCAAATGCTGGAAGAGATGAACACTTGATCTTGATGGACAAGATAAAGAAAAGCTGTGTGCGTGTGTGAGTGTGAGAGAGAATGTGTGTGTGCACATGATTGGTAACAACTCTTTTAAAAGAAGGACTGTCAGTTTCTGCAGACAAGTATTATCTCCATAGCTGATTCAAGCACACACTGGAAACAGCTTTATAGAGATTTGTTCAGCAGAACTGTTTTTATTTTATTTTTTCATTAAGATGATCAATGTGTATTTAGAATGCAACCTAAATATTTTTTTAATGTACAGAATAGCTCAGCCACTAGGAAACACACCGTTGAGGTTTTTACTCTTGTGCACTACACTTTGGTTTGTGTTGTGACAGTCTCATGCGATCTAGTTACATGCCAATCAACTGGAAGTAGAATTAATGAATGTAAAAGAAGAATCACCTTTCCTTCTCGACTGTTTTTGTATGAATTATACTTTACGTGAATTAAAGCCCAGATTAATAGTGTTTGTCTTTTTTTCTTTATAGATG